AGGAAGCCCCGCGAAGGCCCTCCCTGGCCCCAGGCAGGCAGGGGTGGGGAGAGGCAGGGAGGAAGCAACTTACCCTCCCTCTTCTCCTGCCTCCTCCTGGCTGAATGAGGGCTGGAAGCGGGGCGGCCGGAAACAGGGGGTGGGGCTTCATCGTGTGCCCCGCCCCCCCGCACCTCACCCGGGGGAACTGCGATCCCCCCTGAAATGACCTCTGCTTACAGCTGTAGTTATTTTATATTAAGCATTTCAATACTTAGCCTAGCATTTCAACAGAGTGTCTAGCAATACTTATCACATCATCATATCTGGCTGCATCCTACTACCACTTGTCTCAGCTAAGCATGCAGGCTTCTGGCCAGCCAAAGAGGCTTCCCTAGTTAGCAGGAGAATAAAATCCAACCCACTGTATGTCTTCCTACAGTAACAAAACTATCTCGAATTGACAGTACGCTTAGTACAAAACATTTCAAGTATTTGATTCCCTCCCCCCATCCAACTTGAAAAATTCAGAATCAATTACTACATTTGTAGTTATGATTTGCTTTCCCAGAGTTGCATTTTGGTTGTTTTATCTCCCTTCTCCCATCCTGAGGATGAATGCAGGCAAGGGGGGGGGGGGAGAACCACACAGGAGGACAGACAGGTATGTGCAGTGCAGACTTGCAATCCAAAGAGAATAAATGCAGTTTTAATACATTCCTGTAAAAATAGACCGGGGTGGGTCCTGCTGCCCCCCCCCCCGAAATTTAAAAGCTATAAAATGTTCTAGGCATGTTTGCTTACACGGCTTTGTCGATGGCTCCGATTTCATCAGACAACCCCAGGCCATAGTAACAGAGAGCTCCAAGGCCAACGACGGCACCTCCAGCAACAAACCATCGTCCCATCTGATCCACTGGTAAAGAGAAGTCAATCATTACAGTCCTTAAATTGAAAATGCTTTCCCCCTCTCTCCCATTCAGTTGAGGATCAAATTAATATAATTTCTGTTTTCACATTTTTCTTGCCCAGCACATGATTGCTAATGTATTCATAGCTTCTACGTAATCAGAGACAAAGTTCAGGTGACCGTGAAGAACAGAAGACAATTAAAGAAGGCATCTAGAGGATTCAGTAAAAGCTGTTGTCTGCCATACGAAACACCAGAGATTGACTGCACTGAACCAGGTGACAACTCCATCCCCGCGCTAACAGGTAACGTCTCAAATTCCCACCACACATGACTGGACCAGAGCATTCAGCTTGGCCTAACACTACTATAGTTGGCTCTATGCTGCATGTGTATTTGATATTTTATGCCAATAAAGATGTTGTATTTGTATTTGTATTTGACTGCACTGAACCAGGTGACAACTCCATCCCCGCGCTAACAGGTAACGTCTCAAATTCCCACCACACATGACTGGACCAGAGCATTCAGCTTGGCCTAACACTACTATAGTTTGAATTTAGGAGGCAGAGTTCAAGGCCTATTGTAACTTCCAAAGCCACTTCTAATGCCTATTGTAACTTCCAAACTTGTTCTGTAAGAACAAGCCAAACTTGTTCTGTAAGAACAAGCCTTCATTTCAGAATTCTAAAGACCTGACATGTTTTGATAAAATATGACAGATCTTAGACTTAATATTTTGAATTCCACTTCATAAACTGTGCCTCTTCCTAGGGATAGGAAATCTTGTTTAATATCACATCGTGGCTGCATTCAGACTCACGACAAATGGAACTTTGTAACAGGGGCCAATACAATTTGTAGCTGGTTTCACATACTCCTTCTCATCTCCCCACCTGCACCCCAACACTCCCTTCTCATATTCACCCCCATCCCAACTGCATGGTGTTTGAAGGTTTCTGAGTCTGGGACAGTGTTCCCTCTAAGCTGAGTTAGTGTGAGCCAGCTCACAGTTTTTTAGCCCCTGGCTCACAGATTTTTGTCTTGACTCAGGAAGGATGGCTCCACAGCGAACTAACATATGTGGTAGCCAAATTGCTCGCTCACAAGTTTAATGCCAGTAGCTCACAAAGTAGAGTTTTTGCTCACAAGACCCCACAGCTTAGAGGGAGCATTGGTCTGGGGCCTTCAATCAAACCCCAACCAGTTGAGACATCTCAATGTAGTCGGCCAAATGAACTGGAGTCTGTTTCTCCTACAAACCAGGATTCTGTAGACTACTGGACCTTGTCTCTGTGTGGGGCTGCCCTTGAAGACAGCATGGAAGTGATTCAGTTAGTGCCACTCCACTTAGAACACCTTATGACTACGGCACTCCAGCCTGAACAGAGTCTGTTCAGAAATTAGTCCCATTTACTACTGGGTTAAAAATTCAAGATGCTGGTTCTTACCCTTAACACCCCTTCATGACCTGCAGGACCACCTCACCCTAAATCAACCCTTGTGCCAATTTTCCCCACGATTCTTTCTTTGGCATAAAACAGCTAGCAGTGATGTGACAGGCACTTCCCATACTTCCTAGGGATCTGCATGCTTTGAAGGGAACTGACAGAGAAGAGAACCCCAAGCCAGAGGCCACCACCAGGGATTTACAAGCCATGTCCTCTTCAAGAAAAATGCATATTCCTGATTTTGGTTTTTATGTTTATCCCTTGATTTTTATCCACCCTAAGTTTTGCCTTTTCCTCTCTCTGCAAATGACACAAAACCAGTGGGTGTCAGCAAACATACGCATAGATGCATAAGCATACCTTTGAAGATCCTTTCCATTGCAGGTTCAAAAGCCGCTTCCTTAAGTTCCTCAACTGTTTTCCCCCGGCGCAGACCCATCCTGGCTTTGGTGGCATATCCCTGATGCAACCAAAATCAAAAGAAGAACAGTGAATTCTATGCTGCTAAGTAAACACAGGTGACAAAGTAAATAGCACAGGGGAAAGACATCCAAGTTAGAACTCTATGAGATCACGCTTCGTTGCATTTGCAGTAAGCATGCCCACAAAGACCCCCCCCCCCGACATAAGACATCCAAATTCAAGGTGTTGTTTCAAGAGGAAGGTGCCCCTTTTCTGTCCTGGGGACTAGGATGCGTTCTATGGATTTCTCACTTCAGATGCAGTCCACCACCCCATGTTGAATCCCCATCCTATTACATGTTCCCTGATCCTCAGCAGCAGCAGCTGTTTGACTGATGGTGGCAAAAACAGGAAGAAGCGGGAATGAGGAGACCTTCACATGAACCTCAGTCTATCAAGGTCAGCACTGCCCATTCTGACTGGCAGTGGCTCTTCAGGATCTCGGGTGGAGGTCCTTCACGTCACCTACCACTAATGCCACTGAAACATCACACCTGGGTTTAACTATATACGGGGCCGTGGTGGCTCAGTGGTTAAGACACTGAACTGCAGACCAGAAGGTCTGTAGTCTGGCAGTTCGAGACCCGAGTACCGCATGATGGAGTGAGCTCCCATCTCTGGTCACAGCTCCTGCCAACCTAGCAGTTCGAAAGTAGATAAATAGGCACCACTTTGGTGGGAAGGTAACAGCATTCCGTGCGCCACATGACCACGGAAACATCTTCAGACAGCGCTGGCTCTTCGGCTTGGAAATGGAGACGAGCACCGCAACCCTAGAGTCGGATTCGACTGGCTTTCAAGCAAGGGAAACCTTTACCTTACTGCCCATTCTAACTGGCAGTGGCTCTTCAGGATCTCGGGTGGAGGTCTTTCATGTCACCTACCACTAATGCCACTCAAATATCACACTTGGGTTTAACCACATACAAAGCAGCTTCTTTCTGCTCTACTTTAGGTGGAAGGGCTAGAGACATGCCTAGCTTCTAGCCCCGTGCTCAAGGCCATATTAGGCTGTGAGCCAGATTCACACCACCATTTTTTAAAAAAAAGCAGTTGATTCACGCTGTCTTCTGGATACAAAGCAGTCCCTTATAAAACAAATTGCACTTACCTGATAAGGCTGCAAGAGACACTGATTTGTCTTCAGAGTGGAATTCCTCAAGCCTGGTGAAAGCTGACTAAGTGCCGGGCGAAGACTGTGTGATGGGAGTGCCCGAAGGCACACCAACCTGGCCGCAAACATGGCTGTGGCCGTCAAGGGCGAACTCTGTAAGGACGCAAAAGCCAAAGTGATGATCTCACAGTGAAAGTATGACAAAAGCAGAGCCGCAGCCTGCCTGCAAGCATAACAGCCGTCAAACATACAAAGCTGCCTTGCACCCCCCCTCCAAGATCCCTCTGGCCCAGCCAAGGGCTACTTTGACAGACAGCGGCTCTTGAAGGCCGCAGAGTAGAGCACTCTTGCAGACAAAGGACCTCGAGAGGAAACCTAACACACTCTGCACCTAAAGAGCATCAAGCCACGGCCTTCGTTTTAAATATACAAAGAGTAAAATGTTAATAAGGGACACGACTCATGAGATGGAACTAAGAAGGTCTCTGAGAGATCGATTGACACCAGGAAGTCTCCCTTCTGTACTGATGACACTATGGACTTAATAAGAGGCACTGCTCATAAAATGGAACTAAGAAAGCCTTCTTGCCATGCTAGAATTGCTCCACCATCTGTCACATGCGCAGAAGCAGACAGCCTTCACAAGACGTGGACAGGAAGTGGTGCTTGGATTCCTTTTCCTCGCCTGAACTTTGAAAGGGTGCACCGAAAAAGAGGTGCCACGCTCTTCTCTAGCAAGGAAGGCAGGGGAGTGACAACTTCACGGAAGGGGTATTCCTGAAAGGAAGGGAATTCCCAGTCTGGCTACTCCAGACATTGCCGGACGTCTTTCCCATAGGAGGGGCTTCTTTCAGCCAGCAGTTCATTTTCAGAGTCCCAGCGTATGCAAAAAACAAACAAACCCCATTTTCTCCACCAAAACAAGGAGGATACTAATGCACAGACTGAGGAGCTACACTCTAAAGCATCTACACTCTAAAGCTGACCAACTGGATCTATCTAAAGCATACTATTCATTCATTCATTCATTCATTCGTTTAATTTGTATCCCACCCTCCCCACTGTGGTGGGATCAGGGTGACTTACAGAATATATATATTGTTGGGGGGGGGGTTGGCTCCCCGGAGGGGATTTTTAATTGCTTTTTTAATTAGACTACAAACTACAAAGAAATAAGGGAAGGGGACTACAATTAAGGAGAAAGTAAAGGTAGCCACTACTCACTAAAAACCCAAGAGAAGGAGATCATTAAAACAGCTTAAGTACAAAATCATTCCCAGGGATATGAAATCTTGTTTAATATCACACGACAAATGGAACTTTGTAACAGGGGCCAAATGCCGCCGACAGGTCTAACAACAACACTGCCGTACCGCTTCGATCCAGATGCCTTCGGAGAGCATCTGTGAGGGCGACCAGGACTGTCTCTGTCCTGTCGCCTGGTCAGCAGCCTGACTGGAAGGGATCTAATATGGAGGTGTCATCCAAAAAACCGTGCAGCTGAATCACCTCCGCTCTCTCAATCAATTTGCCCAAATAGGGCAAATTGGATACTGGAAGATAGTTAGCTAATTTGGCCGGATCCAAAGATTTTTTTTTTAAAGAGAGGGTGGACCACTGCCTCCTTTAGTGCACCAGGGAACGGTCCTTTGTTCACATTTGCCACTTCAACAAATCAGATTTAAGAGCTGATGAAGCCGCCTTATACTGAGGCAGATTCTTGGTCTACCAAGGATCAGTACTGTCTACTCTGATTGGCAAACCACCAGTTAACACCTCTTGCCTTGAAAACCCTTCCGGGCCACCAGAAACTGGCTGCAACGCAATGGCACTTTCCACCACCACAGCCTATTGTGTGTGTGTATGCTGGGGGGGGGGTGCTGGGGGGGGTGAGACAAGAGAGAAGCCAAGCAGCTGCTTCACTCAAGAGGGTTTCTCTTACTGACTCCCCAAATCAAGTGTGAGCAGCATACAGGAAGGTGCCTTCATTAACGAAACTAGACACAAATCCTTGGAAATGGGTCATGTAGATAATGTGATTTTTAACTGGCTGATCCCTTTCTAGGATGTGGTGTGCAAGGAACCAGGGTGGATAAAAATTTAAAAAAATACACACAAAGGGATTTTTAAAATTTAAAACAGAATTTTAAAATTTAAATCAGATTTTGTTTGATAAAATGCTTTTTGAAGAAAAACGTGTCTAAAGACAGAAAGGTATCTTTAGTCTTAAAGAGAAAGCTATTTAAGAGACATTACAGCGCAAAGGATTTTCATCATGAAACAAGGATTAATTTTTAATTATATGAAACTATATTCATACAATGTTTAATTTTTTTGTAAATTAATTCCATTAATCCATTCATTAGGGCCCAGATGTCATGCTCACCTAGAGGTTCCTGTCAGACTAGTCTGGGTGATTGTTCTGTTTAGAAGATACCATCACAAATGTTTGATTTTATACTTCTCAAAAGTGTGAACTGGTATCTTGCACAGCTAACATGCCTCTTCTTAACAGCAAAAATGTTTTAAAATAAACATATAGAGTTAAGAGATCTAAATTCTATTGTTCTTTTGCAAATCTATGTACACAGAATCAACCTCTTATGAAGTCAATTTCAAGAAGTTTGATGAAGAGAAGATTATTTGGGGTGGAACAAATCAGGATAAGGATGAGATACTAAGAGTGAAGTGTTAAGGAGGGAGAGGCAAGCAGTACAAATAAAAGTGAAACTTTCTGAGCAGAATACTCCAGAAATCTTAAGATCTTTGTGTCACCTTATGGATGTTGAAGCAACTACAAGAATACATATACAATATAAATGGTTATTGTTAATGATTATTTTTCTCCTTCCAATAAAGGGCAGCAGAAAAGTTGTCCAAATATGAATGATTAACCTATTAAACTGGAGAGTTTCTCTCACAAGTTCATAATTACCTATTTCGAATGGTAAATAACCAACCATTAATTTTCTGATACAACTGTAAAACTAACCTGGAAAATTATTATTCTAAAAATGAACCCTTCAACTGAGTTGTAAATATTAAGGTTATAACAACCAATAAGAATCGACCCTTATGTGGAAAACCATGAGTTAACTCAAGTCAACTCTGCCAGGAATAGAAGGGTGTGTGTGTGTGGGGGGGGGGTAATACAGTCCAAGGGGTTGCTACAGTGTTTGGGAAACTGTCAGATACCTTTTCAAAAGCTACATGTGGACACATCTTCAGCATCCTGGATGAAACAGGCAGAAATCAGTAAGCACTTTATATAGCCGTAAGTTAATTACAGCACGCAGGAGTGCAAGTAAGGACTGAAGGAGATATCCAGTGGTATTATCCACTTTAAACTTAACTTTGCTACATGGCACTTTCTGAACATCTGACAGCCTAAATTAACAACCCGACTTACATCTTAAAAAGCAAACAAGACGTAGGATGCAGCTAGGCATCCCAGCTTGCGCCCAATATAGAAATGGATAAAAGATATAAAACAGAGAATGAAATGTTTTGGGTCCCCATTGGGATGGAAGGCAGGATATAAATAAATAAATATATCCAACTTAGGCTGTTTGCATCCCTTTGTACACCTGACAACAGTGCTCCTCAAAAGACCTGCACATTCTGGTATTCTGCTGTTTTCCTCTCACTTTTATTTTAAGGAGGAAAAGAAATTGGAAGCGACATGATGGATTCCATTACACAGCCCTTGTAGCAATCACAGCTCTGATCAAAGAAAACCCCCTGAGAATCAGACCTAGGAAATAACTTCCACAGAAGTGCTGAATGAAAATAATTCATACACTCAATTCTCAGCCTTAAACAGTATGGTTTAAATGTAGTATTTTCTACAGAAAACCATTCCGTTATTTCTTAACTACTAAAAACTACAGAGTGTTTTCCACAGGTTGATAGGCAATGGCTGACAAGGAAAAATCCTGATTTGGAAACTTTTTACAAGGATTATTTTGGGCCTGGAAACAGATCCTCAAATTTACTTGTTTGTTTTGTTTTTTAAAAGTTCATAATTACCTATTACGAATGGTAAATAACCATTACTTTTCTGAAATAACTGCAAAACCACCAATAAGAATCAACCTTTATGTGGAAAACCATGAGTTAACTCAAGTCTCCTCTGCCAGGAATAGAAGGTGTGTGTGTGTGGGGGGGGGGGGGGATACAGTCCAAGGGGTTGCTCCAGTAGTGTTTGGGAAACTGTCAAACTTTTTACAAGGATTATTTTGGGCCTGGAAACAGATCCTCAAATTTATTTGTTTTTAGTTTTTAAAAAAGGGGGTCTTATTTTTAGTTTCCTCAAAATATTCCAAACAAAAGGAAGTGGCTACCAATGAAATGATGCAACACAGAGAAACATTTCACCCTACAGAGGCCATTGTGAGGTATCCTTTTGGCAGCAGTCAAAGTTCAATGATGTCATAAAGCATTATGCAGGGGAGCAGTGGGCCTAGGAGCATACCAGTTCTTTTAACACTAGAAAAATGCAACTAAATGAAGATTAAGCAGCTTCTGAGCACCAAGACCAAAGCATTACTAGAATCATGGTCTGATAGCACAATATATATCCAGAAATGTATTACTATTGAATTAATGCACACAACTATTTAAATTCACATGTAGATTCTAAATTAACTTCTTCACACGGCCATAGGTATATTTTGAATATTATTTTTTTTTGGTGGCTGCATTATACCAGCCTGATTAGAAAGAGCAGTTTCTATAAAGAATAAGCTTTAAATTGAAATTAGCATACACTTCAGAGGAGATTACAATTTCAAGCCACACTCTCCAAAAGAAATGTTGCCAAGGGTGGCTGGCTTACCACAATACAGTGAAACACAATAACCAATAAAACCACATTAGGGAATGTGCAAGGCAGAAAAAAGAAAAAATGCGCTGTTTTGTACACATCTATCTGTTTTCATCCAAGGAGATAAGAACAGCATCCAGAGTTTCCCCCGGCTTCTTGTATCCTCTCAATAGCCCTAGGAGATAGGTTAGGTTGAAAAAGAGAGCAACCTGCCCAAGGTCACCCTGCAAGTTTCATAGCCAAATTGAGTTCAAGTGAAAAAGGCAAAATATTGTGGGTAAAGTGCTGTCAAGACTTAGCAGACTTATGGCAACCCTGTAGGGTTT